CATATTAAAGCGTCTTTGGTTTTTCCATGTTTTCTACAAAACAAAATCGAGGGGTTATGACGTCACTGGCAGGTGACACAATGACACTATGGACACGGTCTGTGTCACTAGTTAAAATAGCTTATTTCTCTGGATTTAAACATTCTTCGAAACATTTGGGATAATGTAAGTACACAAGTCAGCAAAATATATAATCTAGTGGTTTTTGGATATTTTAATAAAAAAATCTTACATATTGTGCCTTTAAGACGTTTATTTCTTTATTTATTTTCCTATTTTTACTCTTTTTTTTCACTTATTTATTTATTTGTTTAATTATTTTGAATTTCTGCAGGTTTGGACCTACAAAGTGGATGAAGTAAAAGAAATGTTGATTATAAATGTTATACAATTTTAACCCACTAAGTGTGTGCAATGTATTTTTAGGCTTACTGGGGTATCATGTAGCAACACACTTAAAGGTGCAATGTGTAATATTTACATCGATCCATTGACAGAAATGCAATATAATATGCAATTCGCAACCTCACCGCTAGATGCCGCTAAAATTTACACACTGCGCCTTTAAACCAAACATGCTTGCTATTATTGAAATCCAATCTATTTTTCGGTGCGCTATTCGAATGATGCATTTCAGTTAAGATACAGTCCATGTATGAGAGGGATTTCTACAAATAAATAATATTCATCATAACTAAATTTGAAATATTAATAATTCTGAACAAAAATTAATTGTACTTGGCGTCTATTCAATTTCCTTGCCAATTAAAATGTATGTTTTTTTCTGAATGTATTAAGAATACAGTATACTGTTTATTTTCTATTTTCTATTTACACTACCAGTTAAATGTTTTTGAACAGTAAGATTTTTGATGTTTTTTAAAGAATTCTCTTCTGCTCACCAAGCCTGCATTTATTTGATCCAGAAGTACAGAAAAAAAACAGTAAAATTGTAAAATATTTTTACTATTTAAAATAACTGTTTTCTATTTGAATATATTTTCAAATGTAATTAATTCCTGTGATTTCAAAGCTGAATTGTTTCAGCTTTGAAATCATTTATGTCATTACTCACATGATCCTTCAAATATAATTCTATATAAAAATAGAAAGCACTTATTTTAAATAGTAAAAAGATTTCACAATATTACTGCTTTTGCTGTATTTTGGATCAAATAAATGCAGCCTTGGTGAGCAGAAGAGAATTCTTTAAAAAAACAAACATTAAAAATCATACTGTTCAAAAACTTTTAACTGGTAGTGTATACTAAATAACACTCACCATAAAATTACTCCACAATTCCACAGATTCCAAATGGAATTAATTGTAACTTAAGTATCAATATTTAAAATTCCAGTAAGAAACAGAGCATGACTTACGAGGAATGACACTGCATTGTGTCCGAATCAGAGGATGTTCGGCTTTACAGATGATTTCTCTTCCGTTTAAGCTCGGAGTGTCGTTTATAGTCATACTGTAATTGCCGTATCCACTGGCATTCACGCTCAGGCCGGGAAACGACACCTGTGCTTCTGGAGCACCGCCTGGCCACAGACAGAGGAACTGCAGCGCTGCGCCTCCATTCACAGCCTGCACTGAACACAGAGGCTCACCGCTGGGAGACTCTGACATGATGGAAAGAAGAAGAGAAATAAACGCATAAAAGCCTCTCTACTGGCTTTCTAAAACCCTGTTAACTGTGGTAAAAAAAATACATATAGCCTTGAATGGCTCAATGCATTAACAAACACTGTCAGCAGAAAAATATTTACATGATGCACAACATCCTAACATGCTGGTATTCCCTTATTTTGCTTACAAAAGGACATTTGAATTGCAAACTCCTACCATAGACAATTATAGTGACGTTTCTCTGAAGTGTCGCCTCAGTTCTGGTGTTGATCATCACGCAAGTATAAATGCCGCTTTGACTCGTCTTAACATTGGTGAGACTGACTGTTCCTGTTGAAGACGTTTCAATGGACTCGCCATTGAAAAACCATGTGGCGGAGGGGGGCGGTTCACCCTCGGCCTGACAGGAGAGGAACAGAGACTCGCCCGAAACAAAGACTGCTTTTGTGGGACTGACCTTGAGAACTGGCATATCGGGTCCATCTAAGGGCAGCCGAAGAGAGAAAATAAGATGTCGGAAATGAAACGGGCTACTGTTGGGAAAGCCTCTTAAAGAAATAGTTCAGGCAAAGATGAAAATCTGCTGAAAATGTGTTCACCCTCAGGGTCATCCAAGATGAGTTTGTTACTTCATCAAATTTAGAGAAATGTAGCATTGCATCACTTGCTCAGCAATGGATGCTCTGCAGTGAATGGGTGCCGTCAGAATGAGAGTCCAAACAGCTGATAAAAACATCACAATAATCCACACCACTCCAGTCCATCAGTTAATGTCTTGTGAAGCCAAAAGCTGTGTGTTTGTAAGAAATCCATCAAGACTTTTTTAACTTCAAACCATTGCTTCTGGCTAAAATATGAGTTCGTAATCCATAATAACATTTCCTCCAGTGAAAATGTCCATCTCCTGGTTTCCTCTAATATCAAGATCCATAGACATATTCGTTTAGAGCTGTTTTTGCGTGTAAACAGTGCTTGATCTATGCAGATTTCTCTCCTGATTCAGAAGTGATGTCTTTTTAACTGGAGGAAACAATATTATGGACTCATATTTTAGCTGGAAGCGATGGTTTGAAGTTAAAAACGTCTCAAAGATGGATTTGTTTCTTACAAACTCAGTTTTTCACTGAAGATGTTAACTGATGGACAGGAGTGTTGTGGATTATTGTGATGTTTTTATCAGCTGTTTGGACTCTCATTCTGACGGCACCCATTCACTGCAGAGCATCCATTGGTGAGCAAGTGATGGAATGCATTTCTCCAAATCTTTTCCCATGAAGAAACAAACTCATCTAAATCTTGGACGGCCTGAGGTGGAGTACATTTTCAGCAAATTTTCATTTTTGCCTGAACTTTTCCTTTAAATGAATGTAATCACCATATACTCACACAGCACTGTGATGTTCCAGTGTTGCGTCTCCGAGCTGAACGGGTTGGTTAGTAACACAGTGTAGCGGCCCGTGTCGTTCCTGCTGGGCTGGTTTATCGTGAGGTTCTTCCCGCTGATGGAATAATGAGATCCATTTCTTAACTGGAGTCCATTAAAGAACCACCGCACCTCTTTGGCCTCCCCTTGCACTGTGCTGTAATACAAGGTAAAGCTCACTTCACCCTCAATGGCGTCTCCTGGATCAGTGTGCAGGGATACATTCATGATGATATCTATTGAGACAGAGAGGCAAGCAATCAGAGATACATGGAAATGAATCACATTTACCAGCTCTAACAATGTTTTTGCTACTAAATATTAAATCAAAGACACTTATTAAAAGCTCTTTTACGCATGAGAACATTAACAAATAGCTAAATAATATATTAACAGTCTTTAGGAAAATTAAAATCAAAATCCACTTAATTTTAGAGTCACTTAATTTTATTCACAAATACATAATGAATATTCGATTGTACTGCCCTGCTCTACATAGTAAGGTTTTCATAATTACATTAACAAACAATAAGAAACATAAATACATAAAATCATTAGTTCATGTACATACAAGTGTTATTGTAGTATCTTTAAAAAAAGTATTGTAGATTTAATTTACTGTATATTTTGAATCTGGTATATAATATATATATATATATATATATATATACTGTTCTGTGTTTTTGTCCTATTCAGTTTTTTTTTCTAGATGTCTATTTAGCTTATTAGTTTTTATTTCAGTTTTAGTTATTTAAGTACATCAAGTTAAACTAAATTAAAATAAGAAATATTGCCTTAGCAACTGGCTGAAATAAAAAAAAAAGTCAGTTAACGTTTATTTTACTTCAAGTAACAACATTTGTTTTATGGTTTTAATTTTAGCTTTAGTTAAATATAATAACCCTGGTACGTGGCACATTTTAGTCATTTATTTCTCATACACATTAATCACTTATTGTTAAACCAGTATGTAGTGTTTGTGAATGACTCATTAAAGTTATTATATATTATAATTACCAGCCAACCTGATTTTTAAAATGCCAATATCTAAAGAACAAGGTAAATGAGAAAAATATTTTTAAAAATGTTTTAAATGAACACTTATTTATTTACTTGTTTTAAATTTTTTTTAAAAATTTTAATAATTTAAACAAAACAGATAACAAAAATAAATCAATCAAATAAAATTAATTAACTAAAAAAATGACAAGGTTGCCAGGTACATTTTTAAACTATTACTAGGGTTTTGTTTTTTGGCCAACCGGGAATAATTATTGATAAATACAGATGATCTCAAAATAGCCAAATCTAATCTTATTAATACTCACCATAAACAAAGAGGTAAAATGTAGTGCTGACCTTTTCCTCCCCGATATTATTCATTTCCACGGTGTATGTACCATTATAACGAAGCGACACGTTCATGAAGGTGAGGGATCCATTGAGTTCTGGTTTAAAAACGCCTGAAGCAACACCTGAAAGCGAGCTGTTACCAGCGGTCCATTTGGCAACCAGAAGACTTCCCTTAAACCACATGACCTCAGGATGAGGGACACCAGCGTGAGACACACTAAGGGTCACATTGGTGCCCACAAGAGCTTCAACAGTCACGGGTCCCTTGGGTGAGATGCTCAGATAACATACATTACCTACGAAAGGGGAGGAAAAAGCAATAACTGACCATGCAAAACTCTCAGACATGATTTTAAGGTGGTTGCAAGCATGCAAAAAGAGCATCTATGATTTTCTGGCCTCTAAATATGGCTTGAGATCAGTTCACTCTACACTGTGAAAAATGACCGTGAATTTAACGGTAAAAGACTGTAAAAATGCTACAGTAAAAACCTGTTAAATGGTTAAAGGTAAATTCCCCTACTATATACGGTATTGGACATTACATGTATTGGACATTAATTTTACGGTAGTATACCATTTTTGGAAGT